ATGAAAAAGCTGGAAATAATACAAAATGTCATAGCCTAATAGTTTTCTTCCGAATAGTGAAACTTTTCGCAAACTAATTCGGTCCAAGAAATAACTTGAAATAATTTAAAATTGCATAGCTGGCTTCATAAATTTTGACGATTTTTGCAAACCGGTTCAGTCTATGAATTATCTTTTCATAATTAAAAATTTTTTAACTTAAAAACTTGTTTAGAAAAAAATTTCAGCTTTTTTCCAACCAATTCAGTCAATGAAACAAATTGAAATAATACAAAGTTTCAGAGTTTTTAAAACATGCTGAAGAAAACTGAAATTTTTTGCAAACCGATTCGGCTTACGAAAGAAATTGAAATGTTGCGGAGTTTCTTAGCTTGCTTCGAAAAACTTGAAGTTTATGCAAGCTGGTTCAGTCTATGAATCAAATTGTATTAATTCAAAATTCCATAGCTCTGAAAGATTACTTCGAGATCATTTTTCGTGAACTTATTTAGTTTACAAAAAAATGTTGTAGTTTTCAAAGTTTCAAATAGCCTAAAAGTTTCAAATAGCATACTTAGTCAAATTTTTTGTGAACTGATTCGTTTAACGAATTATCTTGAATTATCTCAAAGTTTCATATTTTGAACTGCTTGCTTTGGAGATGTTCAACTTATGACAGAAAGCATTCGGTCCAAGCAAAAAATTGGATTTTTTCAAAATTCCTTGCTGAAAAAAAAACGTAATTAAAAACTATGAAAAAAAACTGGAATTCACTTGAAACTTTTCAATAGAAAAACAGTCTTCCATCCAGATCACATTTTGAACTAAATTGAACTATTTGAAGTTTCATAGCTCAAGCAGCTTGCTTAGGAAAAAATAAATTTTTTGCGAATTTTTTCCGTAAATGAAAAAGCTGGAAATAATACAAAATGTCATAGCCTAATAGTTTTCTTACGAAAAGTGAAAATTTTGCAAACTAATTCGCTCCAAGAAATAACTTGAAATATTTTAAAATTGCATAGCTTGCTTCAAAAATTTTAACTATTTTTGCAAACCGGTTCAGTCTATGAATTACCTTTTCATTATTAAAAATTTTTTAGCTTAAAAACTTAATTAGAAAAAAATTTCAGCTTTTTTCCAACCAATTCATTCAATGAAATAAATTGAGATAATTCAAAAATTCATAGCTTTCAACGCTTGCTTAGAAACACTAATTTTTTTTCTCATTTCGTTTCAGTCCAATAAATAATCTTAAATTTCTAAAGTTTCATAGCTTGACTAGCTTGCTTCAAAAAATGTAATTTTTTCGCGAACCAATTCAGCCTATGAAAAAACGTGTAAGAATTCAAAACTTCATAGCTTCAAAAGCTTGCAAGGAAAAACTCAAAATTTTTGCGAACCAATTCAGTCTATGAAATAAATTGATATAAAATTAATTTTTATAGCTTCAAAAGCTTGCTCAGATAAACTTAACTTTTTCGCGAACCAATCCAGTCTATGAAATAAATTGAAATTATTCAAAAACTTATAGCTTTCAAAGCTTGCCTAGAAACACTGAATTTTTATTCTCGATTCGTTTCAGTCCATGAAATAACCTTAAATTTCTAAAATTTCATAGCTTGACTAGCTTGCTTCAAAAACTTATTTTTTTCGCGAACCAATTCAACCTATGAAGAAACCTGTAAAAATTCAAAACTTCAAAGCTTCGAAAGGTTGCAAAGAAAAACTCAAAGTTTTCGCGAACCGCTTCATTTTTTCAAATAAGTTGAAATAACTCAAACTTTCATAGCTTTAAAAGCTTGCTTAGAAAACTTTAAGCTTTTCGCGAACCGATTCGGTCTATGAATTAAGTTGAACTAATTCAAAACTGGATAGGTTCAAAAACTTGCTCAGAAAAACTGAAACTTTCCACAAGCTTTTAAAAATTGCATAAAATTGCATAGCTTGCTTCAAAAATTTTGACGATTTTTGCGAACCGGTTCAGTCTATGAATTATCTTTTCATAATTAAAAATTTTTTAGCTTAAAAACTTGTTTAGAAAAAAATTTCAGCTTTTTTCCAACCAATTCAGTCTTTGAAATAAATTGAAATAATACAAAGTTTCAGAGCTTTAAAAACCTGCTAAACAAAACTGCATTTTTTTGAAAACCGATTCAGCTTACGAAAGAAATTGAAATGTTTCGGAGTTTCTTAGCTTGCTTCCAAAAAACTTGAAGTTTATGCAAGCCGGTTCAGTCTACGAATCAAATTGTATTAATTCAAAATTCCATAGCTCTAAAAGATTACTTAGAGACCTTTTTTTGTGAACTTTTTTAGTTTATAAAAAATGTTGTAGTTTTCAAAGTTTCAAATAGCTTAAAAGTTTCAAATAGCATGCTAAGACAAATTTGTTGTGAACTTATTCGTCTAATTAATTATCTTGAATTATCTCAAAGTTTCTTAGCTTGAACTGCTTGCTTTGGAAATGTTCAACTTATGTCAAAAAGGATTCCGTCCAAGCATTAACTTGGATTTTTCAAAATTCCTTGCTGGATTAGCTCGCGCGAAAAAAAATCTTAATTGATTCGGTCCCAGAAATTATTTGAAAACTTTCAAAACTTCATTGCTTTAAAAGCTTGATTTAAGAAACTCAAATTTTTAGTGAACCGATTCAGCCTATGAAAAAAACTTGTTATGAATCATAATTTCTTAGCTTTGAAAGCTTGCTTAGAAAAAATTTTTAGCTTCAAACGCTTTCTTAGAAAAATTTAATTTTTGCAAACCGAATCAGCCTATGAAATGAATTGAATTGAATCAAAGTTTCATAGCTTTCTAAACTTGCTCAGAAAAACTGAAACTTTTTGCGAATTGATTCGATCCAAGAAATAACTTGAAAATTTTTAAAATTTCCTAGCTTCAAATGCTTGATTAAAAAACTCAAACTTTTAGCGAACTGATTCAGTCTATTAAAAAACTTGTAATAATTCATAATTTCATAGGTTGAAAAGCTTGCTTAGAAAAACTTAAACTTTTCGCGAACCGATTCAGTCTATGAAATAAATTTAAGTAAATCGAATTTTTCTAGCTTTAAAATCCTGCTTAGAAAAACTTAACTTTTTCGCTAATGGTTTCAATCTATGAAGTATTTGTTAATGATTCAAAAATTCTTAGCTGCAAAAGCTTGCTTAGAAGAAACTTAATTTTTTTGCGAATCGATTCAGTCTATCAAACATATTGAATTAAATCAAAGCTTCATAGCTTTATAAGCTTGCTTAGAAAAACTGAAACTTTTCGCAAAATGATTCGGTCCAAGAAACAACTTGAAAATTTTCAAAGTTTTATAGCTTCAGAAGCTTTATTAAAAAACTCAAACTTTTGGCGAACCAATTCAGTCTATTAAAAAACTTGTAAAAATTCATAATTTCATAGCTTGAAAAGCTTGCTGAGAAAAACTAAAACTTTCCGCGAACTGATTCAATTTTTGAAATACAATGAAATAAATCAAATTTTTATATCTTTAAAAACTTGCTTTGAAAAACTCAAAGTTTTCATCAGGAAATTCAATCCATGAAGTATTTTTTAAATTATTCAAAATTTTTTAGCTTTGAAAGCTTCCTAAGAAAAAAAACTTAATTTTTTCGCGAATCGATTCAGTAAGTACCACTTGCTCTGAGTTCGTTTTTATAGAAGGTACTCACCAAGGAAACATTTCTGAAACCTGTAACCGTGCAGTTGAGAATTTTCTCACGTTTTCAAAAGTGTGACTGCTTTATCAACAAATATTCCTACGTTCATATTGGTTGATGGCATGCCGAAAATAAGTGATTCGTCTTGGGAGGCAAGGGTATAATTTTCCCGCATTATTTTTTAATGGACGCGAGTTCAAGCTGGATTCGACTCCACAAACATTAGTGTTCAAACGATAACGAAAAAAAAAACATTTCAGCCATAAATTGCAACACTCGAATTTTGTGCATCACTCGCCAAAGCGCATTACCACAATTTTGCACTACTCTTGGATTTTGTGTATAACTGGCCAAATCACGAATCAAAATTGAAAAAAAAAAATCCCCTGAAGGGAACTTAAATGAAATTGCTCGAATCTTATTAGGAGTGCTAAATTTGACATTTTTGTGTATTTGACATGTTTGTATGACTCGCCAAATACCAGGTCTAAATTGAATTTTTTTACTTAAATTTTGTCCATTAAAACAATACGTTAAGCCATCACCTTGAATGAAATTGAAATGAAACTTCTCAAACCAAATCAAAACGGCTGAATAATGAAACTAAATGAAAACTTAAGTCGAACCGCTAAACTTAAGTTTTGACCGTGAACAAATTTCAAGTTTATTCCCGAAAAAAAAACAATCATCACGACCAATGAAGGAAAAAAACTATTTTTTTTTACACTTAACGAGCAATCGAAGATCTTAAACTGATACAGGACAAAGACTGAACATAGATAAGAAACAAAAAACAAATCTCACTATCTTTTTCAAAATCTAAAAATTTCATATCATGGTCTACAAAAAAACCGATGCGATGACTGGATCTAGAACCTATGCACTAAAAAGACATCTAACTAGCAAAAGAAAATCCAAAACTGATGCTTTTTAGACGCAGTTTGCGAACTTTTTTGGATTTCAAATTAGAGCTGAACAAGCATTTTCATAATAAGACCTCTAAGTAGCCTCGTTCGTGTCATTTTCTGTCGATTCATATCAAAAAACGAAAAGGCGAAAACGCACATAGTAAACAAACAAAAAAAGCAAACGGGAGCTTTCAAATGCAAGAAAATAGAAAATTAATTAGACCGGCCCTGCAATCTACGGCATTCGAACATCCGATCTTCAGATTTATAATCTAACGTCCACGCAAGTACGCCACCGCTTTGAAATCACACGCCACCAAAAAGCGGATAAAACTTCACACTCGACACCAAAAAGCGGTTTCATAAACAAAACTATTAGCCAAAATAAGGGAATAGTTTAATACGCAATTCGTAAAAAAAAATTCAAATGGTAAAATTTAAAGTTCTTTTTTCAATTCTAATTAGCAATTTCAAAATTATAACACGTATTTACAATTTCAGATTTACAATCGAAGGACAGTTTGTTTTTACAAGTTTATGAATTTTATTTACATGTTGATGATAGTTGTTCTATGATTTCTTTAACTAATTTGACAGATATAATGAGCTTCGCGTCTAATCTTTTAATTATTTCATGCACGCAAGTAAGTTCCAGCAAGTTCTGATTTTGTGGCATTTATTCAGGTCAAGTTTCTTTTACAGTCGTTGTAGCTTGGGCAAATTGGAGATATTTACGAATGTTTGGCATTTTTGCTGTTTTTTGGTGCCATCCAGTTCAAATTTGATTATCATTCAGCTCAATTACTTTTGTTTCTCAAACACTGTTTTTTTCCATTGCGTCATTGTTCTAACTGGCTCTGATGAGTGGCACCTGTTTCTCCCTCTCTACCATCTGTTCAGTCTCTATTTTGGCGGCCGGTGTGAACAGGAGATTGTTCTTCTCCTCTTGAGTCAGTGGCTCGATCCGTCTAGTCGACAGTTTGTTCTTGGTCGGGTTGATCAATCTAGATTGAAACAAAGTTTTGATAAATGGCATTCAAAATACAAGGCAAAAAAACCCTCAAAATGATGACCCTGATAATCTCTTGCAATATAGAAATAACGCGTTATACACATTTTTTTAATTCTATACTAGACTATAGTAGTACTCACCAGCGTATTTATGGGGGGAGAACGATCCACCCACAGGGATTCAACCCCCTGCTGACCTGACCCAAAAATTTCCCCCTTTGCTCTATCTCAATTTTCGGCTGACGGGCCTTAAATTTTTTCTAAAGGCGCCTTTGGCACCAATATATACTAAATTTTAGGGCCGCAACAAATTTGGCAGCAAATGTGTGTTTGTTTAGGGTTATGCGCTGTGTTACCTGAAGTGTGTGGCAGTTGGGTCGATGAAGAGAGACCTCTGGGTCCTAAGAGAGACTACATTGTTGCCCATTCTCTTCTCCTCCTCGTCTCCCAGAGTGAAGGGACCCTTGTAGCTACCCAGCGACTCAGACTGGGCCAGACCAGGAGCTGCACAGAAAGGAAGCAAAACGAAAAAAATCATCCTGTTGAAACAATAAATCCAAGATATACAAAGATGTGCTACAAGGAATCTAAGAAAAAATGTAACATTGAAAGTAACATAGCCAAATGACCGTTGGAAAAAACAGAAACAGAAAAAAACTGACTTGTAAAGCTTTTTGAATTTCTAGAACAATTTATGATTGGTAATTTTTGCGATAGAATTGACCCAATTTGAGAAAATTGGATCACTAGGTAAACTTTTTATTTCGCTGGAAAATCTGAAAATTAAATTCTGTTTTCGAAACTTGAAGTCAATTACGTTTTTGTGACCTTAACACTTCTGCTTTCCGATTGTGGAGTTTGTCTTCATTTTTAGAAAGGAAAGGAACTGAACTTTATAAAATCAGAAGTCAAGCCGCAAAAAAAAATCAAATTTCAGCATAAGATATTTTCCTCTAAAAAAACGCGAAAAAAATCGACAAGACCTATATAAGAATCTTCAGTACGTTCAACATTCTTAAACAACGAGAGCCCACTTTTTGTCAAGCTAGATTCTATTGTTGGTATTTTTATATATCATAAAATTATAAGCTTTTCAGGGTTATTTGACAAATGGTATTAAATGATACTTTTAATGGAACGAGGCGACGCTTTGTACTTAATCTCAAGACAAATATTCAGAGCAAAAACGGTGAGCGTAAGTTTGTGCGACGTTGGAAAAAGTGAAATAGTATTACAAAATGCCCGTTTGCTTTAGAAATGGATTTAATACCCATACAAAAAATTGAAAACTAAAAAAACAAGCCCCACAAAAACTAATTGAGCATTTACGTGGCGAGTATCCAGCTTCTCTGGCTGAGATGTCAACTGATGGGTAGTGGACCACGCCCAGCGCAGGCACCTCGCTGGACATTCCAGCCCCCAAGGACACTCGATTGGCACTGTCCTTCAACAGACCTGAAAATGAACCAGCAGATTCAGTAGACAATCCAAGCGGGATTATAGCAAATGCCTACAGCTCTTAGAACATTTAACATTGATCTCTTACATCTAGCTGATTAAGTTTAAAATGTCTGCTAATCTTTTAATAAAGATAAATATCAGCTGATCTGGTTATTTAGAAAAAAAACTATTATTGTTTTGAAAAGTATGTAAGACCTACCAGCTGTCTTGTCGATCTGATTGCTGGCCTTTATTCCCCTTTCCATGTTCTCAGTGGCCGGATTCAGTCTGTGGAACTTCAGCACTGGATCTCGTCCCGCCATCTTCTCTCGCCACTCTTTCATCATCCTGAAGCGGGTTTAGACTTTCTCTTTTACGTGAACAAAAGCATATTTAATTTCGACCACAATTGAAACTATCTTCATTTTTGAATTCGTTCAGAACTTTGAGCATAGCTTTTTGAGGCCGAAGAACCCTAAAATTGTCATCATGGGGATTTCAACGTTCAAATATTAAAAATAACATACAGAAAGTGCTTAAACAAAATTATTAGGCTTGTGCTCTAAGCAACAATTACTGCTCCTTATGTTCTACATCTTATTTTGAAAATAAGGCTCAAAAGAAAACCAAATACAAGCATAGTCAACACAGTTGAAAAAGTATCAATAAAATGACGAAAACCGAAGATATGGCTACTTTTTTCGAAAATTTTTCAAGTTTCAGCTTCCAAATAACAACATAAACACAAGCGAGCAGCGTTTTGCGCCACTTACGAGAAATTACAAAGAAATCATGCCAAACTGGCAAAAGTTGAGACGATGAGCTTTAAAAAAATATATACTTAACTACCCCTTGAATAGACTCACGCGCATGTAATATTAAACTTATTTTTGTTCATCAAACGAGGCAATACGAGGTCATAAAGCCGATAAGGTATGAACTGAAACTTTAAGCCAATAAAACAAACACAGAGGCGAAGCTGCAGTTCGCAAACAAAAGCGAGAACACGACAAAAATCAGCTCGATAAAGTGCTCTATAAAGAAAAGTAGAAATAAGCCTCGAATTAGTTAAAATTCAGCTACGTGTCGGATTCGATAATACGGCCTACAGAATATCAGTCTCACGCACTAACCACTCAGCCACACACGCTTAATTAATCACCGACACTAGCTTCAAATTAACCAGAGAACAAATGCTATGAAATTTCCAATGCTACAGATCGTGATTACAGCAAAAATGTCACCAAATAATGAACCTTTGCCACCAAATAATGAACACTTTTATTTGCGAGTTAGGTTAGAAAAAAGCTCAGACTGATACACTAACGCTCGCAAGCTTGCTGGTGGAAAAAACAAAGCCACTCGAAGATTGAAAAAGAGTAATGAACGCAAGTAAACATAAAAAAAAACACTGACTTCTCAACTTTCGAATTTTAAAAAAGATTAATGACAGGCGGTTTTTTGATAACATTAACCCAGCTTGAGAAAACTGGATCAACCGGTAAAGTTTTTATTCCGCTGAAAATCTAAAAACTAAATTCCACCTTCGAAACTAAAAACTTCCCGTTTTTTTTTCGCCATTTCCACTTTCGTATATTTAGAATGCTATTTAGGTCACTTTCAGCAGATTAATTCCAATTGAACTCAAAAAGTGCATATATACCTAAGTGCATTCATAAATGCATCAATATGTATGAATGCACATCTAAAGTTATTAGAGACTTTTATGCATTTTTTCCTCAAAAAAAAATCAGCAAGACCTATATAAGAGTATTTAATATATTCATTACTCTTGAACAAAGAAAACGGAACTGTACCGAGCCGGTGTTGATGAATTCAAAACCAACTTTAAAAACAAGTATTCACACAAAGGCGAAGCTGCGCTTCGGAAACACCAGCGAGAAAGCGATAAAAAAGAAGCACAAAAAAGCGCAATAAGAAAAAGTAGACAAAAAAGTAGAAATTAGCCTCAAAAGAGTAAAACTTTGGTATAAGTATTGACACAAAGGCGAAGCTGCGCTTCGCAAATAGCAGTGAGAAAGCGATAAAAAAGAAGCTCAAAAAAGTGCAAAAAGAAAAAGTAGACAAAAAAGTAGAAATTAGCCTCAAAAGAGTAGAACTTTGGTACGAGTATTGACACAAAGGCGAAGCTGCGCTTCGCAAACAGCAGCGAGAAAGCGACAAAAAAGAAGCTCATTAAAGCGCAATAAGAAAAAGTAGACAAAAAAGTAGAAATTATCCTCGAAAGAGTAAAACTTTGGCACGTGTCGTCGAACCTGAAACTTTTATTAAAAACTATTCAAACAAAAAAATTCCAAATTCCCCAAAACCTCTTGTAACTCAATAACCTTCACCAATACAGCTTTAGAAGGGGCATTCAAAAAACTAGAAGAAATCTGAACCATCAAAACGATTCCTGCCTGCGGGAACAAGTCGAAAAAAACTGACGGACAATAGTCTGAAAAAGCAGATAACTCCTTGTTTGTCAAAACACAGGTCTCGGCTGGAATCGAACCTGAAGCCCTGGTTGTCTCAAGTATGTACATAATGTCGACGCCAGTTGTACTGGATGGTTAACTGAATTTGAATTTATTTTGAAGCAAGTTGAAAAACTTTATTATTTTCACGTGCGAAATCTTGAACGAAGTTTTTCTGGGGGTAAAAAGTCTAGAACCCGGTTGCAACACCCTTGCTTATCGCAGGGGTATTCATATTAAGCAATTTTCGAAACTACGAGCCATCATTCACGTTTTTCGCGCTAATTTAATTTTATTATTCAAGACAAATTGAAGTCAACTTAAAACGAAGAAGCCAAGCAGAGCTTGGCAAAACTTGCAAAAATGAATATGATGAAAAAAGAAATTCAGGACACCTTAAAAGCACCGGAGCTCACTGTGCAAGAGGCACAAAACGTTCTAACTACAGAGTAATAAAAACATGTATCAAAAATTCAGAAACAAGTTATTCAATAAATTTTCTGCCGTTTTTTGGTAACGAGCAACTGAATTAAGTAATACATAAATCGGACTAGGTACTGAAGCAATTCGTTAATAAGCACTTAAAAATCTACAACAGTAAGATATCATTACAGCTTAAAATATAGCAAACAAACGGTTGGAAAAGAAATAATGAACGCAAGTAAACAAAAAATACTGACTTAAATTTAAAAGTAAGCATTTAAAAGTAAAAATAGATGCCTTAAGCTCTTTAAATTTCCATAACAATGGCACGTTTTTGATAAGCATTTAAAAGTAAAAAAAAGATGCCTTAAGCTCTTTAAATTTCCATAACAATGGCACGTTTTTGATAAAATAAATACAATTGGAGAAAAATGGTTCAATCAGTAAAAAAAATTATTTCGCTGGGAAATCTGACAATTAAATTCCACTTTAGAAACTAGAAGTCGATCACGTTTTTCGTGACCTTATCACTTTTGCTGTTCGATGGTGGAGTTTATTTCTGCTTATAACAAAATAAATGAACTGAACTTGAAAAAAAATCAAATGTTGAACCGCGAAAAAATAAATTTGAGACTGAACAAATTTTAAGAATTTTCCTCGAACAAAAAAATTGATCTCGACCTATATTGGAATCTAAACTACGTTCATCGACTCTTACTAATCTGAAAAAAAGAAACAGACTAACTTCTCTCGACAGACCAACTTTTCTCGACACTGAGACTGACAACTTTTTTGCAACGTTTTCTAGAATCTTAATCAGTGTTGAAATGCCTTGGTATGATATGACATCTGTACGTGCTTTCTGCAAGGTAATCAAAATCGGCTTGAAAAAACCCACCCTACGCCATAGTTCTTTCCCAATCTGGGTAAGTGATCGGGCAAGCAATAATTTAAACGAAAATTTGATTCAAATATCCGGAAAGTTTGAAAATTAACGATATCAATAACATTCAAATATATTTGAACCAGAACAAATTTTGGGACTTTACCTTTCGAGTCACCTAAAGCTCATCCAATTTTGAAGCTTCTTCTTTAAGAAATTTGTGTCTAAAGTTGGATATTAAAAGGGTAGAGTTCAGTCTAAGCTGTAATAAAGGGATGTCGAACAAATTGATATATTCCACTCTACTCACTTATTGTATACTTCTCTCTCCTGTTGCAGTTTAATATCGCCAGCTGGCATGATAGTCTCAGGCATGGACATCCCAAAATTCCTCTCCGGCTTACTCCGCAAGTCCAGATCTCTCTTCCTATGCTCCCACGTGAACACGTCTCTAAAGGGGAGGGCTGGCTTCAACTGCCCTTCGTGCAGAGTATTCTCACGCCAGACCTTGCAAAAAATAAACATTTTTACTTCTTCGTAGCAGCCAGAGCAAATTGCAGCTTCACCGTTACAATTAACGATATCAATAACATTCATATAGTATGAAAACCACCAGATGCTATCAAAACCACCAACCTTATTCCACTTGGTTCGACCGAGACATTGTTATTAACATCCACGCTGGTAAATTTATAAATTTCGAAATGCTTCTAAGTCAAATATGCGGTGATAAGGAACTACAGTGCTGATTTAAATTAACCGGACAAAACGCGTAATACTTGAAATTTAATACGCATTTTTCTCAAATTGGGTTGAGTTTAGGTGAAAACTTATGAAGACAAAACTTGCTTAGAATTTTAGCAGAATTAATATGGTGTAATTTGTTTTGCGAAATTCGGGTCCAAAATTTTACCCCAAAAATGGGTCATTTTTGCTTTTCTTAGTTAATAAAAAATACGCCAAAATTACCCAGTCGATCACAGACATAATGGGATCAAAGTGAGCACCTTACGTAGCCCAACAAACTTTAAGAAGGGTATATTCTCCAAAAAAAATTGCAAACCGTTTAAAAAATGTTTTTTAAATAAAAAGCTGGTAATTTATATAGTAAAAACGACCTTTTTTGTCTATCAAACAAAAATAAAGTGTCCTATACAATGTTTTGGAGAATATACCATTCTTAAGGTTTGTTGGGCTACGTAAGGGGCTCACTTTGATCCAATTATGGCTGTGATCGACTGGGTATTTTTTTATTAACTAAGAAAAGCCAAAATGACCCACTTTTTGGGTAAAATTTTGTCCCGAATTTCGCAAAACAGATTACACCATATTAATTTTGCTAAAATTTTAAGCAAGTTTTTCCTTCATAAGTTTTCACCTAAACTCAACCCAATTTGAGAAAAACGCGTTTTAAATTTCAAGTTCAACGCGTTTTGTCCGGTTAATTTACATCAGCACTGTATAATGTGTCTCTATAATCTAATTCTCATCACTAGCGGATTTAGGAGGGGTTAGGAACTTCTTCTTACCATAACCTTTCGGTTCAATTTTAGGGCATCAAGTTTCGGTTACAAATCTACTTACAAACTGGTTGATTTCCTCCTGTCTTTTCTCGTCAAGGGGTCTCTCCGGCAGATTGTCCGCTAGAGCGCTGTCCATGCCCGGGAACTGGAATCCCTCCTTGGTCATCCATTTTGCTCTGCTCGCCATCTCGGCCTCCGTCTTCGCCCTCTGGATATTGTAGGGCACCATCACTCCCGAGTTCCAAAAGTCCTCCTTCATGAATGTGAACAGACGACCAGGGTACTAAAATAAATCAAGGGTAGAAAAACAAAGACACTAAAGACAGCCGGGTAAATCAAAGTCAATATATATTTAGTATAAGTTAAAGAGTTGAACCAAAAGTGAGCCTAAGCCTATTAAAATATTGAATACATGATATTTTGCCATAATTGTTCAATTTTCATTATCGGTTGTAAGCTGTGCCAAAAATAGAAAAATATATTTTTCAACAACTAATCTCTATAGAATCCGTTGAAAGGAAACTCATTCGATGTTCTCGTAACCATTTTCAAATACTAAATGAAATTATTTCTGCGCACCCTCTGTTGCAGAACATCTCTCATCTCGTCTATCGATAGCTCTGTGGTGTTGACAGTATGCGAACTGTAGTTATACACACCATTGTCATCCGCACTTCTCAGAGGCGCCGAGAACTGAAAGCAAGCCAAAAAATTTATTTCCCGGTAATTATTAAGAATTCCACAATTCAAATTTAGAATCCTAACTATGAAAGGCTTGTGTAAATACAGTAAAACCGGCTAATGGTTTATATATATAAAAAAACAATTAAATCCCCAATGAACCTACCACCACCAATGCAAAATCTGTGGTATTGCAAGGATGTTCTTCGCAATCAATCTAATTGTTTGTTCAAAACTGTGTCAGGACACTTCTACTTGTACCAAGACGCCGTCGAAAAGACAATTACCCTCAGGCAAATATATATAGTTAAGTTCGATTCAAACAAACCAGGATTCAACCGTACAATATCCCTCCTAACGGACCTACCGTATAAAATCACATCTACGCATGTATTTGTATTGAAAACTTATTCCGTAAAAAATAAGCAATTCAAACAAGCGCGCAGGATATATTATTTGCGAAAATTTATCTTATGTAATAGCTATTTTAATTTGTTAATCAGAATATTACTTTTTATGTAATCAATAACAGCAATAACTATACCAGCTACTGCTATGGGATCAACTAGGGGTGCATCTAGGATTTTCTCAAGGAGGCGGATTTTCCAAAAATTTCGAAATTTTTGTCGACTTTTTTTAGATTGACCAAATTGATTTTCTGAGCTCTCCTATCACTATAAAGACCCGATTTTGACCAAATTTTCTGCGTCGCAGACAAAATTTTGAAAAAAAACAAGCCAAAAAGGCGTTTTTCTGCAATTTTGGGAAAATTTTGACCAAAAAACCGCGTTTTTTCGGCGCGCGCTGTCCCCTCAAAATTAGTATATATTAGCGCCAAAGGCGCCTTTAGAAAAATTTTAGGATCCGTAACCAAAAATAGATATCTCAAAATAGCAAAACAGTACAAAGGGGGGACCATTTGGGTCGGCAGGGGGTCAAATTCCTGATGGGGGAGGGGCGTCCAGCCTTCACCCTAAATCCGTTGGGATCAACCGTAAAATGCCCCATAAATTTTTTTTGGCGGAGGGGGTACAATGCGGTTTCAAAAACCAATAAAATTTCAAAATTGATTGATCTAAACTTAGCCAATCGAAAATTGGAAAAGAGTAATGAACGCAAGTAAGCATAAAAAAAGTCTTTGTTTGAAAAATTCTCAACTTTCGAAAGGAAAAACAGATGCCTTCAAGCTCTTTGAAAATCTAGAAAATTTATGAATGGGGCTTTTTTGATAACATGAACCCAACTAGAGAAAACTAGATCAATAGCTAAAGTTTTTATTCCGCTGGAAATAAATTCCACTTTCCCTACTAGAAATCGTTGACGTTTTTACGCGCCATTTCCACGTTCGTATTTGGAGAATGCTATTTACGTCAATTTCAGCAGATGAATTTCAATTGAACTGAAAAAGTGCATCAATATGTATGAATGAACATCTGTAATTATTATAAACTTATGCACAAAAATCAGCAAGACCTATATAGTAGTCTTCACTACGTTCATCACTCTTAATTACCAAAAAAAAAAATTATTGAAAATGATATGGTTACCGTGAAACTCTGAGGCAAAAACTTAAGACAATGACTCATATTCTGCGATTAGTTACCAATTTCCGCACCAATGCAGCAAAACAGTTTTCATCAGGAAACTTCTGTTCAAACTCACCCTTCTAGGCTTGGGATTGTTGTTCCTGTTATTGACAGACGCCTTCTCTACATGGTCCTTGTTCTCCTCTACATAATTCCTCCTCTCCCTGTCCAGCGCCCTCTGTCTCAGCATCTGCTCGTACTCTGGATTGCTCATAGCCAGAGGAGTCCACAGTCTCGAGCCAAACATCTTCACGTCTGTATCTGCAAATGACAGTCGATTGATAGTTTAAAACATCCCATTCACAAAGCGAAAGATGGCATAGATAAAGATACAGCTTTTACTACCAAAACATTTTCGAAATTAGTAATCGCTCACGTTTTGCGTGAACTTTACACTTTTTCTGCTCGATAATGGAGTTTGCTTAGTAATGGAGAAAAGCTGATTTTGTCTCTAAGATCAACCCGGGGTGCGCTTAAAAAGGAAATTTCGCGCAATTTAACTATCCCAAATTAGCCTATTGCCAATTTTCAAACCCCTGTAATTTAACAAAAAAAAACTTTGTTTAATTTTGAGCTCAGGACATCAATAAACTCTGTCGATGGCTAGTAAAAAACCGACGTCAATCTGAAGAAAAAACTACGCCATAGAATAAAATTTCCGCCAATTTCCTTGAAAATCGGGAAAACAAGACGGCTCGAATCGTTGAAAACCCTTGAACAGTCCGCCATCAGTTAAGGCGCCTGAAGCAGTTTTTGGTACAATTGGTAAAATTTCAAAAAAAAAACATACTTTGATCTTTTTGGCATGCCTTGACCCAGCACTCAGTTTCTAGTACAAAGTGATATGACTCTCACGAAGTAACGCGTTTTTTTGGTAAGCTTTCAATTTTAAATGGTTTCTGAATTTCTCAATTTGCGGCTCACGCTATTTGTAAACAGAACATAGCAAACATATATTGGGAAAATAGTCCAAAGAACTAAGACAAACCGCGAAAAAATATTTTTAAGCCTAAACAAATTTTGAGACTTTTTCTGAAACAAAAACGAAAAAGTCATCGCGACCTGTGAAAGACCCCAAACTAAGTTCATTGACTCATAAAAACTATTTTTGACCTATAGATATTGCCCTTGATTCTCTATTTTATTGAATGAAAAAAAAACATTAAATAACCTTCGTGTTGTAGTATGGCATCGTCGAAATCTAGATCGATGTCCTGACTCTTCGCTTTGTGTGATGATTTGTAACTCTTTTTCCCAAGTTCAGTCGCTGCTGATTTGTTCTTGCTGCTATCTCCATGTTTTGTGCTTGCATCTGAATTAAATAAACCTATCAACGGGACAAACTACAAAGCTTTCGAATGTTACAAAAGCTACCAAAATATGAGTTCCAAAAAGTTCTATAAGAAAAAGTAAAAATAAGCCTCAAATTAGTAAAAATTCGGCGACGTTTCGGACTCGAACCCACGACCTACTGTAACCTACAAATTATGAGTCTCACTCACTAACCACTCAGGCACGGACGCTTAGTCCATCACAAACACTAACCACAAATAAAGCCGAGAACAGATGCTATGCAATTTAATGCTTCAGATCGTGATTATAGCAAAAAGGCACAGAACTGAACACTGCACAAAAAGGTACACATCTGAACTGAACTTGCGAGGTAGGTTAGAAAAACAAGAAGGTTCGTACCAAAACTAGCTGTTCTCTAGCGGAAACAAGCCATCAGGCAAATCGAACTTTCTTGTTTCCTAAAACTTGTGACCAAAAGGATGTTGTAGAAGCATTGGACAATATTTCATTTCAGGCTTTAAATAAGCAACTTGTCTAATCTCTGCTTAACTTGGATTGGATATAGCAAAATACACATGAACAGCCATGCCAACAGTTGAACACAGAGGCGAAGTTGCCCTTCGCATACACACGCAAAAATATGACCGATAATGCTACTGAGAAAAACTGAATGAGTAAAACTTTGAGTCTACAAAATTTCTTAAGTGACGCACGCCAATTATGAGTCTACATAATTGCTAAGTCAAGCAAGCTCATTATGTCGCATTAGCAGTACCAATTAATTTGACAGAAAAAACTTTACCAACTAACATGCCTCAATTTATAGAGCGGACACAATTTAACTAGTATACGAAAAAGCTCATTAATAACATCCGACCCTGCCCAGGTTAGAACCCTCTTATTTTGTTGCGGGTCTACTTCCCTACCTCTACGCTACAGATCCATGATACCTTGAAGCTAAATTACTATTTGGTATATAATAGACTGTGTACATATCGTTAACATTGGCTGTACTTAATAGCATGTTTAAGTACAGATAATGCTAATTACAGCCAATGCTTAATAGGCTGTTCTTAAAACTGTACTTAATAGCTTGATAATGGTTATTGATCAACATGAACACAATTTATCGCAACAGTATTTGCGTCGCAACAGTACTTGCAACCTATGTTGGAAAAAAACGATAGTATATAGTATAACACAAGCTTTGCTTGTGTAAAAAGTGTCAATGAAATCACAAAAACAGAAAAATACAACTGCCTTATTCGAAATATTTTTACAGGAAAAAAATATGGCCTTCAACCTCTTTGAATTTCAAGAATCATTTACGATCGATTTTTTTGATGAAAAGTATCCAATTTTTGAAGAAACCGGATCACTTTCTGATGAAGTAACATTCGTTTCTTTGCTCCATTTCATAACTGGAAAGCCTAGTTTGAATTGAGCTTAGAAAGGGCAAAAAAGTTCGGTCGAAAAAATTGCCCTTTGATATCATCAAGACTGCTAGTAACACTTGTAGTACCAGCAAATTTGACCTTGTTAGAATTTTGCATAACGTTTGTGTGGTTATTTCGCTTCACTGATACAAAAATAATCGTTTTCACCAGATGGCACAAAAAAATGAAGACACAAACCACAAGAAAAACGACTGAAAGAGAAACGCTTCGAAAAAATGACAGTTTAAAAATAAAACTAAATCAAAAATCAAATTGACAGATCATCAAATATACATTTTTTAAAATCCTCTAGGAAATCTAAAACAAAATCACTTTTTAAAGCAAAAGTAGTTTATTTTTTTTATCGCCAATTGTCCAATTGATGGAGCCCGTAATTTGTCATATAACTTACAATTGAATTTTTCAGTGAACTTGAAGTAAATTTCGAAGTGAACTTAGACTCGCACCGCGGAAAAAAAACTAATTTGAAACTTTTCTGAAAAATCATCGACCTATATTAAAACCTTCACTACATTTGATGACACTTTTTTGTTGACACAGACCCACTTTGAGAAAACTGAATTAAAAAGTTTACGGCAGCTCTATCAAGTGAAATAAGAAAAAGTAGAAATAATCCGCGAATTACCAAAAACTCAACTACTCGTAGGTTTGGAATCTGCGACCTACTGAAATCAAGATATTTTGGGTCTCACGAACTATCCCCTCAGCCACGCAAACTTAACAACCAACAAACACTAGTCACGAATAAAGCAGCTACATATGCTAATAAATTGCCAATGCCATTCAGCATAAGTGGCACCAAATACAAACAGACTCAATTTTACGTGTGATAAATTGGAACATAACAAACTGAAGGGATCCACGCAAACTTTGCATGAAACAAATCGCAAAGCATAAAGCCACATTAGGTATAAATTATGCTTTTGCGACTTAAGTTGAAAAAAGATAGCCAACTGACAGTTGGAAAAGAGTAATGAACGCAAGGAAACTGGAAAAACACTTTTGAAATTGGAAAAAAAAACTTGAAGAACAATTTATGATGGACACTTTTTTGATAAAAATTAACCCACTTTGAGAAAACTGGATCAATAGGCAAAACTTTTATTTCGCTGGGAAATCTGATAATTACTTTCCATCTTCGAAATTAGAAGTCGATCACGTTTTTCGTGACCTTTACACTTTTGCTGTTCGATAGTGAAGTTTGCCTTCCTTTTAACAAAGGAAATGCAATGAACTTAAAAAGAAATCACAAGCGAAACCGCGAAAAATCATAACTGTGCGTGAATAACTTTTAAAAAAATTTCTGAAAAAAAAACAAAAAAATTCAGCAAGACCTATATAAGAGTACTCACTACGATCATTACTCTTAAAAAGAAGGCTCGTACTAATACGTTCGCTTCCCAAGTGAAAAAAAAGTAGAAAAAATGCAAAAATACTTTATTGTAAGGGCCAAAGACAAAAAAAAACACACGAACAAAAAGGAAAAAAAAACTCACATCGCAGCTTGATCCTTTACAATTAAACATGTTATATTTACATCTTTTATAACTCATGTTTCTTCATAGTTTTTAATATAAGCTGACAAAAATCAATGTCCAAGATTTGAATAGTTTCTTCGACGTCCGAATATTCTCTGCCACCATCTCATAACTCCTTTCGGAGAAGAGTTCCTCTGGCTTCCACAAATCCAGGGCTGATCAGAGCACATAACATTCGTTTTAAACCAACTGAAGGTAATGAAATCAACCGGATTCTCATACGGTATTTTTGGAGTCCATCTATCTCCAACTTTTAAGAGATAAGGGATACCCTGACGCTCATCTCTGAAACCACTCCTATGATTAGCTCGTTTCAACTCGCCAATTCCAAAACCAATTTTGGTAATTATATTAGCTTCGCAACTAGGGTCGTAGTAAGATAAAATGTAATTAAGGTGCTTGCCTTCCGCAGAGTAATCAAATAGCTTTGAAATATACTCCAATGGAGTTAGCAACGCATCTCTGTAACCATAGGTGAAGTAATAATAATATTGACCGTGACAACAACCCTCTGTGAGTACAAAATAGTTATGATGCTCATACTTTGATACAAAGAGATCATCACATTCATCTCTAATAAATCTCTTTAATTTTTTAAGACGACTTGCGACTGGATCGGTGGGTATTACTCCTTGGAAAAAATTGCGGACTTCAAACGCTGGATTATTGTGTGTACCTTCTCTTTCAGTTACGAAAGCATCTAGACAGTAGTATATACTGTACACTCTGCACAGTGCCCAAAAGTAGTTATGAGGAACATCGAACGGAATTAAGAATTTCAGAGAAGACCAAGCTGGCACGACAGTAGAATTAACTACAATATCATCTGCTGTTCCAAATTTGACACCAATTAACCAAAAAGATGCAAGCCACAGTATAACTAAATTCATTTTAATAAGAAATAATGCTATTTCTTAACGATCGACAACTGCGTGGAATAAAAATTGTTTACAAGCGTGATTCAATGTCATTAACAGAACAAATACAAAAGCATATATCAACTTAAAACAAGGATGTACTCTTTGTACCGACAACAGCGTTTCATCATAATCCCGTAGCTAGGATTATTGATTAAAACGACTGAAATTTTTTAAACTTTGAGTTTAGAGAAAATATTCCATCAAAAGCTATTCAAAAAGAAGAATATTTTCTGGTTGAATCTTTTGATAAAACTAACCCGAATGGAGAAAACAGAATCAGTAAGTAAAATTTTCATTCCGCTGCGAAAACTGAAAATTAAAATCCACTTTCGGAACTAGTTGATCATGTTTTTCGCGACTTTTACATTTTGGCTGTTCGTTAATGGAGTTTGCCTTCCTTTGAAAAAGAACTGAACTTCAAAAGAAATTGAAAGACAAACCCCAAAAAATCAATTTGGAAATGAAAAAAATTATCACGACGTATGTAGCAGTCTGATCTGCACTACGTTCATAGACTCATAAAAAGGGCAAAAAAAATACAATTATAGAGGGAATTCAACTACAGGCCTCAGGCAATCAAGTGGACTGTCCTACACAACTGTGCTACTGACGTTTCAGGAACCGCAGCAAACGTGCCACCAAAATGAGGACTAATTCATTTGAGTTGGATTGGAAGCTAGCTTATATAATTATTCCGCTGTAATTAGGATAAATTTAAACCCCTTTTTGTAACTTAAAGTCAATTCCAGTTTTTGCGCCATCGCTTTTGATTTTGGAGAGCGTAATTTGTCACCATTTACACAGAGGCGAAGCTGGGCTTCGCAAAAACTTGCGAGAACATGATCAAAAATCAGCTCTATCAAATGAAAAAAAAATAAAAATAAAACCGCGACTTAGCAAAAACTCGGCAACGTGTTGGATTCGAATCTGCGACCTAGCAAATTTGAATCTCACGCATCACTCAGCCACGGATGCTTAAAATCCCAAAACTAGCCACCAATAACGCAGCTACATATATTCATAAGTTGCCAACTCGATGCAGCAAAAGTAGCGCCAAATACATAAATTGGAAAGCATAAAGCCAAATTATGCATGAATTATGCATTTCAAAAAAAAATGCGAGATACATTGAATTGGAAAATTTCTGAAATCGAGCTTTTTTCATTGCACAGCTGTTTGAAACGAATAACTTTTTTTCGGTTCAATTGATGAATTAAAAATGCATCAGCCGTGTTAACTTTTTACTAATAAGCACTTTATTTGCGACTTAGATTGGAAAAAAAAGAAGTTCGTACTAATACACTTTGCTTCGCAAGTGTAATCAATTGAAATTGAACTGAGCTTGAAAAACATCATAGGCCAAAGCTGCAAATTTTAAATTGGCATGAACAAATTTTCCTGTAAACAAAAAAATCGCTCGACCTAAAAATTTGTCTTCACTTCGTTCATCGACTTTTCATAAGTATCCTCACTTTGATCATAAAAACTAAGTAACAATTCATCCTACACAGAGGCGAAACTGCGCTTCGCAAAGACTAGCGGGATCGCGACAAAAAACAGCTTTATAAAGTGAAAAAAGAAGAGATAAAAACAAGTCTCGAATTAATAAAACTTAACTACGTATCGGATTCGAACCAGCGACATTGAGATGTGGAGTCACACTCCCCGCCCTCTCGGCCACGAACACTTGCCAATCGGCAAATAAAGCAGCTATATATGCTAACTAATTGCCAATTTATGCGGCAAAAGTGGCACCAAATACAAACAATAATTTGGAACATAAAAAATTGAAGGCATCCTACTTAAAGGCATCCTTCTAACTTTGCATGTCATCAATTGGAAAGCATAAAGCCATATTATGTATAAATTATGCATTTCAAGATAAATTGAGTAAGAAAACTTCGGAAATCGAGCTTCGAGCTTTTATTGTTGTAATTTTGTTTGAAAACAATAGCAATTTTCGGTTCATTTGATGAATTAAAAATGCACCAACTGTGTAACTTATTACTATTCGAATGTCAAAGCACATGCAATCAAAAAACCGTAAATGAGTCACCAAAGGTGGCACCAATATTTGCAACTTAGGTTTAAAAAAAACGACTGTCGTACAATTACATTACGGTCCCTAAATTATGCTAGTTTAATTAATACAACAGCGTTTCATTTTTGACTAACTTTTGCTCTTCTTGTCTAGAGACGCGTTGTTGTTGTTTGTCTCCTGGAAGTAAGCAATTCCGAACTCCTTGCTCATCGACTTGACCATATCTACAGTGGGAAACAGCTGGTTGCGAACTACATCTTTCAGACTGCTCGTTTGCAGAATCTGAAACGCCAGCATAAAATACTAAATACTTCATCTATTTATCCACTGATTAACGTATGGTTAGTCTAATAAATAATTAATATTTTAGCTGAAAACATTTACCGACAGCAAAGATTCGGGCTCATGAAATTTCATAACATCATAGCACATTTTACAAATATAGCAGATGTGGCAAAAACAGTAGAATTTTCGAAAATCCAAATAGCTGTTGGATATTTAACACACAGAGGCAAAGCTGAGATCCGAGCCGCTTGCGATACAACTAGATCTGTCAAAATGAATGAAGATAGTGAATCAAGGCGTGAAAAAACATGCCCAACAATTAAAGGCAAAATCAGCAGCGGAAAAAAATTAACCAAGCGGTGATGAAGCCGAAAGTATCTAAGAAGAAACTCTTCAAGTCGAATTTTTCACAGCAAAAATTTTTACGTTTCCTTTTCTCTCATAACACACAAATGCACACAAAAACTTTTTTCGCGCATCAAACGACGCTAAAACAGGCTACAAAGCCGATATAAAACAAGTCGAAACCTAATAAGCTGAAAAAATTTAAAAAAAAAAAAGAAATTTCAACAAACCGAGTGGTAAAATGCAATCAAATTAAGTGCAGAGTGGAACGTGAAATTGTGTTTCCCATGAAACGACCCAAAAGTAGGTCACTGAGTCGATAAAAAATAGACCGAAATAAATTGGGCCGAATAAAATTTTTAAGCGAAACAAAAAAAAAAGAAGTACTAAGTCAAAGAAAGTAAAATTACAAGTACATCAAACACTAAAAGTACCATTCAAAACATGTGCGCAGCAAAAAAAAACGATCCAAGATGTAGCAACTAAGTTCACAAATGATAAGCAGACAAATAATTGGCCGGCAATTTTATTTGAAACATAAGATTTCCCGTTAGAAAAAAAACAGATCCAGGCGTATTCGTTATTTCCAGGCTAAATGGGCCGGTAAAAATCCCAGCATTTTCCTACTTCCTTCCTCTTCAATTGAAAAAGGGGCGAAGGGCAAGTACGAAATATCAACTATCAGCTGTGCACCTGTGATATTTTTGTGAGGCAGTCGAATGACATTTTGGGAACCATGTCCCTAACATAGAGCAGAGGCTGAATCATGATTGAAGAGAGGGACTCGTGGATGCGAACTCGGAACAGGGACACTCCAAAAGAGGCATACAGTCTAGAAGAGAACATCAGGTCACTGTCGAACATCAGGCGCAGTCGAGAGGACGAAGGGTCGCCTGAAACAATCAAACTTAGATTACAACAGCCACATATCTGAGCTCAAGAGGAGAAGAATGAACAAAATTGAAGTGGATAAGATAGTAAAAGTAAAGCTAATTTGATTAACGTCATACTCAATAGATTAAGAACTTGTAAGTCAAGAACTAAATTATTTTCATAACAAATGAGAAGGTTTACGTTTCTGGAATAAATCAACTTTATAATGATTTTCACTTAAGATTGGCTTGAAACTTAGGTGCATTCCCATAACTCCCAACTTTCATATGACCTTAAAAAATCTGTCTCAACGGTCCCAAAAACTTATTTCTTGAGCACTGTTTGATCGATATTTAAGCCAATGAATAGAGACATGAATTGTTAATCGTTCAAACAGCATAAATTCAAGCGGAAGAAAAGTGACAGCCGCAGTCGCGCCAACGTGCAGAGCGCTCACCTAAAAATTGTGACGCTCACGTAGCTCGCCCTCTTTCGGCGTAAGTTGTCTCTTTGATCAAATAAAAAGATTTGCGACTTGAGTAATTGTTTTTTTGGCACCTATGGGACTGATTTTGCATCTTGAGACTTATGAATACGCACCAAACTTAAAATAAAAACCAGGAGACAATGTTGTTAAAAATTCGCATAACAAGAATAATAGTTTTTTCTGCGATTCGCAGTGGTGCTATGAAAGGCTATCCAGCCTGTCTTAGTATATTCCTTTTATCTAATTTCATCACATTCCAGACTGAGTTATTTAGTTGAGCGAAGCTCTTTTTTGCGCCTCAAGGCCGTTTATTTGCATCTGACAACTTTCATGTGGTACCACTATTGCAGCCGTAATTGATCAGGCTGTGGTTAGACCTGAAAAAAGAGATCAAGTGAGAGCTCGTCCTCACACACTATCATTACCAAAGCAGGGGATCGATTTCACGATCTGACGATCTCAAGGTGAACGCCTTACCACTATGCTAAGTGCGCATAGGAACAGCCTTCAATTTAGAGGAAAGTTTTTTTCTGAACGATGTCACAGCAATAACAGACGTTTTCTCGCGTCCTCTTTTGCGTTGGCTATTCTCATCATGGAGGGACCAAATGATAGAACTATTTATACCCATCAGAATTGTAGAAAAACATAAAAAGTTCCTATTCGATTGCTAAAGCGAAAGCAAAATTGACTGACATTTAAAACATTCTTCTCCCAGTGAACAGGAGGAAGGCGCTACTCCCGATAACAACCAGGCGCTATCATAAACATTTCGTGTCTCGGTTCTTGTTGCAATGCAAATGTAGAGTATAGATGCATATAAAACAATAGTATAAATGCATAAAACTGAACCAAAATGTAACAACAATAAGCGCAGTTGGCCGAGTGGCCTAAGCTACAATAACGCCCACTATATAGACTCTACAGTTGACGTAGGTTCGAGTCCCCCACCTGCCCATGTATTAATATACTAAAAAAGGGGGTTATATCCTATTTTAACTGTTTTGTTGATTCTAATTTGGTTCAACCTTGATTAAGGCTGACCGCTAAAAAAGAGCAATTTGTCTCAAGGACATTACCGACCGGTTCTTGTGGCTAGCTTGCACCAATTTGTTTATTGAAACTGTGGATTTTTGAAATTATGAAAGTGAGTTGTGTGAAATGTTGGCTTTTATAAAATTAGTCACGATGAATGTATGTATTGCCGAGAATACTACGAGTTAAAGCAATTATTTGCCGAGCCGTTTTATACAGTTTTGGAGATTAGAGCGCACATTTTGGCGCCCCACAAGGGACACACATAAATTCAGTAGGGAGTATCCCAGTCACGATTACGAAATCTAGTGTGTCCATCCCAGCCTCTAATACACAACATTTAACTGGCAAATATCGAGTATCCCAGTCACGATTACGAAATCTAGTGTGTCCATCCCAGCCTCTAATACACAACATTTAACTGGCAAATATCGAGTATCCCAGTCACGATTACGAAATCTAGTGTGTCCATCCCAGCCTCTAATACACAACATTTAACTGGCAAATATCGAGTATCCCAGCCACAATTACGAAATCGAGTGTATCGAACAGGACGACGGCGTATTTCTCTGCCTTGGTGTACACAGTGACCGCAGTAGCAACCAACCGGCAAAGCATTTCAAACGAACACTCGGGGACTAGCCACCAGCTGTTTCGTCTAGTGGCCAAGGGCTGGTTCGAACCGCCAGCAGAATTACTCAAGTCTCCCTTCGACTCGGTTGGTTTGTTCTGTAGTGAGGTCAACTTTCCCTTAAAAGTTTGACGGACAGGAAGAGGAAGCGGAATAGGCCTTCATACAGTTTCGCCGGTGCACCCAATCTCCAAAACTGTAAGAAGTTTCCAAAACTTTTAAAACTCCAATTGTGCTATAAATTTAAATACGATGTCATTTATGATAGAATTTTTCCCGCAAGCTAGCCCCCGGTAATTTTTCTCAATACCCAAAATTTTTGGACAGTTCCGTTGAACTGAAATATCTTACAGTCGATACATAGACAAACTGACTTGACATTTTTTCTCGATACCAAAAATTTTTGGATATATGTGAACGGAATATTAATCAGTGAAATCGGAACATAGACAAGAGGTACTGGACTAGTTTTTTGGATTGGTTTATGACTCGAACCTGCTGACCAAAATTTACTGAAAAGTTTTGTATAAAAAGTAAAAAATTGCCAAAAAATCCTCAAAACGTCTCCAGAATTCTGCGAAACTGTGCTGTAAGATGACACCAACCTTATGTTAAGTGGTCTGGTAGCGAAATATCAGGCAAATTAAGTTGAGTTTTTTCATCCTCAGGTTTCTTCCGCGTGTGTTGTTGGAATTTAACCAATTTGCTTGATCCCCCACCCACCATTGATGAAACTGAAAGCCAGTTCGCTTCGAGTAAAACAAAGCCGTTTCAGCCCGTCAGATTATTGACTTCGTTGCGTGACAGTAAAGTTAAGTGGTCAGGTACGGTGATATTAAGTGAGTTAAGTTGAATTCTTTCATCCTCAGGTTTACTCCGTGTGTGTTGTTGGAGTTCAACCGACCTACTTAATTTTCCAACCCCATTGGTACTTAAGCGTAACGAAACAGTCGCATAGGTCCCCTAAGTGTATGGTATTCATTCTAGGAGCTAGTTCTTTGGATCACGCGCTCCGAAAACTTCCCGCTCCGTCCCAGAAGCGCGTCAAAGATACTTGCTTTACGAAGCCAGGTTTAAGTTTGAACTTTAACGCTAGGGACTCTCAGAAAACGATACAGTACTACCTTCATCACTACCTGTCGCACCGTAACGACCTTGTAATTTGGCACGACGCCATTAATAACTCGATAAGTAGGCACCGCAGCAACAATAACCGCAAGCTGAGTAGTGAGCAACTTGTCAATTTGTTATTAAGGTATAGGACAAACATTTGTGCGATCGTATACTGTAGACGGAACGGAACCGAGGATATAGAGGAAAGTTTAGGTTCAACAGGTATTCTCGTTCTCAACGTCGTTAAAGACTTTATCTCTAAGCGTAAGACTAAGGACCAGGTACTAATTGAGAAGTACAAAGAGCTTCACCAGCCTCCTTCCCTTGAGTTAAAGACTCTCCTCCTTCTAAAGCGTTATAGCGCTAATCTTAACATCCTTAAGACACGTAAGAAGCGAAACCGCTTACCCCTCAAAGCTCGGAAAGCTATAAGAAATAGGATTCAGGTAGAAGCTTTGAGACGTCAAGTTCCCCCGTCTTGTAAGCTAATGTTGATTTACTAATGCAAATTTGATTACGTACCAAAACAGTATCTCATTTTATTGATTGTTTTCTATAAGTGAACATCCGTAGAATATTGTCAATTTGTGAAAAACATGGACGAAAAATTCCAAAGTTAGATACGCAAGTTATTCGAAACCCGTCTAAATCTAGAAAATGAGCTGCTTAAAGGTCACTCATTATTACTTGAGTACATTGAGAATAATAGTCGCACTACAAAAATTGATAATGCTGTTTACAAATGTAAAATTGCGTTGGAAAAAGCTGTCGACGTCAATGAGCAATTAATTAGGTTAGCGGGAAAAACGGAAAATCCTGAAAAAATTATTGCTCAGCAAGACCTTTGGCTTAAGAAAGTAACCGAAATGAACGATAAAGTAATGCACGAAGCTCAGAGTTACAAGATGAGCCTTGAACCTTCGTCATTTCCAGCAGCCGGCATTACAGGGAGCAAGGGATCTTTACAACAAACTAGGTCAGAGACATCCTCACACTCGCACAAAACAAGTGATTCAGCAGCACGAGTATCTGAAAACAGGTTTAAGGTCTCTAATAAGTCTAAGGATAGTAGAAAGCTTGACTCACATAAGTCTGATAAATCTGCTTCCACTCGTCATACGTCGACTGTTCGCACTATGTCATCAAGTGAGAAACGGCATGAGTTAGCTTTAGTAAAACGACGCCATGAGGAGCTGGAAAGGCAGTATCAAGTATCTTTAAGACTTAAAGAGCAAGAGAACCGTCTTAAGTTCGAACAAAGTCAGCTGGAACTAGAGCAATTGGCTGAAAATCATAAAAAGCAACTAATTGAAATGGAATTGAAAGCGTTTGAACTTGAGGACAGTTCATCTGAGGTTAGCGAGAAGGTAGCGGAAAGTAACTTAACAGGAGTAAGTCAACCTATTTCAAAGGTAGCAACCGATCGAACTAATGATTGGGTAGACTCTGTTAGTTCACAAGCACCTCCTGACGTTGCTAGTGCGCCAGGTTTGCAGGCCTTCACTCATGTACCCATTTCGTCAGGACCGACGACTTCCGCCCTCCTTGCTCATGCAATTCACACCAGTAATAGTCATAACCATGAGCACACAGCATTGAGTGACCCTGGAATCCATAGTTATGGACATCGGGCTATGCCTCAATTTGGCAGTGCAAGCCGTTTGCCATTGCAAGCTTCTGTTTCATTCCCAGCCCCTGTTCCATTCCCAGTTAACAATATGCATTCTAGTGCACACGTGTCACCACCGTCTGCT